TTTGGAGGGCTTCTGCTTTGAACAAAGGTTCCTGTTTTTGGAGTAGTCAATCCAAAAGTAGGAAACATGAAATGTGGCTTCCCTTCAGAGCCGTCGAACGTTTTTCGGAGATCCCCGGTTCTGCCCGGAGTCTAACCTCTTCTGGCTTGTCTAAGGCCACTTGTATTTGTGTAGGGGTGGCCGAGTGTCGAAAATTTCAGTTGCACATTTGCACACCCTGGTGTGTTGGAAGCAGTCGGACCTTGTTGTTGGAAGTTCTGGACAAGTTTCCTTCCCTGCGGATAAAAAAGGTCACCCATGACGACGGTCCTTACCCAGGGAATCCTTCTTTGGGCATTTGCGTGTGTCAAAAATCAAGAACCCTCCTGAAAACCTTCCATGGAATCGTCTGGGGGAGGGTAGACGATGTTGATTGTGACTCACTTGACGTTAGATTGGCCGCGGCTCCACACTGGACCAGCTTGCTTATTGCCCACCGGCGGGCGCATCTGTATCTAGCGGCTCATTTCCTCAAAGGACAGCGACATGGGATGAGTTACTTTAACAAATATGTTGTCAAAGACCCCATTTTGTAGCACCCAGATTCAAGTCTCAGACTGGCCCTTTGTCTCTATCAATTGTAAGTCAGTTGTGCTGAGGGTACTTTGACTTCCGGTTTGAAATGGACCAAGCCCTGCCCAGAGTGGTTGTGTCCAGACTGTCGACCTGCCATGGGCGGGGGGTATTTGTGGACCAACTCGCAAGAGCTGCACTTGACTTCCAGGCATGTGGTTCTATATCGAACAAGCGGTCAAGGAAGCAAGCAAGCGAACAAGCGGAGATAGACAGACAAAGCGAGAGACAGACACGACACAGACACAGACCCACAGAGACAAATAATAGAGGCAGACTGAGCCAGACAGACAGAAAAGGAAACACACTAATACCAAATATCCAGCAAGAGCAAGCAAGCAAATGGGCAGACAAGCAAGGAAGGACGCAGGCAAGCAGCAAGCAGGCAAGCAGGCAAGCAGGCAAGCAGGCAGGCAGGCAGGCAGGCAGGCAGACAAGCAGGCAAGCAGGCAAGCAGGCAAGCAGGCAAGCAGGCAAGCAGGCAGGCAAGCATGACAGGCATGACAGGCAAGGATAGTTGATTGAACCACTCCCAGTGGGCTTGCCGCCTTGCTCTTGCGCAGGCGCAGGCCATACCGTCCCTTGGCTAATTTGGCTTGCGGGGCTGGTCTCGTTGAGATTTGATGGTGGGCTGCGCTTTGTGGAGGATGGATGCCTTGGAGCCAATACACAGGTCATTTGGGGCACAAGCATGGCGAATAAGCAACTGACCTAGTGGCCTGAGGGCCATGCATTGTTTCTGCCTCCGGACGGGCTTTTTGCCTGCCCCCAGTGCGGGACTTGTCGGGCAGGGGCACAGAAGCAAGGAAACCGGGTTCGACTACTCCCTGACAGAAACCTTGGGATCGCTCCCCTTGCCCTAGGATGGCGTTAGCTGGGCTGGATGTCGTGGGCATCGCAAAGACGGGCAGCGGCAAAACTTTGGCCACTTGGCCAATGGGAGCACTTTCCCAGTTGCAACCAGTGGGTTACTGCTTTTGTTTTTCCTTTTTCCGGGAAGGGTTCCCCTTTAATGTCAACCAACAAAAAAAAGATGCCCTTTTTTTCCCGTGGCCAGTGGCGCCTGAGCTTCTGTCCCAAGTTTACTTTCGCCTTGACTGCTATCTGGTTGGTTCTTCAAGCTGTGCCGTTTGGGATCATGTGGGTCTAGAATGGGAGACACCAAAAATGCTTGGCTTCCTTTTGGTATCCCTTTAAACCAACCCCAAAAGGGTACCATGTGGCGTCTTCCCACTAATTCACACGAAAAGTTGAACACTTGTTGTACAGGTGGAAACTGGCACGCGTTTGATTAGAGCAGTGCTGCTTTGGATCCGGTTTTGGGGAGGCACGCCCCTACTTGCATCAACTCCGGACACATGTAATCTGAGGAATCCCCTCAAAAGCATTCCCTTTGTATGGCCCTTACATCAGCCCACATACCGCCGGGGTCATAAGTTTGGCTGTCGCGGGATATCAACGTCAGAACCCCCCATTTCCAGGCCCACGCTTTTATCCGGGTGTCCTCCATTTCCCTTTTTGGAACCAGCCAGTTTTCTGCAACCTCTGGCACGGGGAAGTCCAGTGCCGCCTGTAAGGCTCGCAGGGAGCCTTCAACGCAACTCCTTGGTTTACAGGAGTCTCCACTGAAGGTGGGGGACCCCTTTCTTTGGTTCCGCCCAGAAAAAGAGAAACAACACAAGTGGCGACCTCATCTTTTTTTACTTTGTTTTTCCCCAGATGAGGTGAAAGAGTGAGGAAGTCTGAGAGTTGTCAAATATCATGCTGTACTACTTGTCCCTTGTACATGCATGATGTACACTACCCGACCGCAGGCCTTGAGTCTACAAGGAAAAGAGTGCATGCTGGGAAACTACATTTGTGTTTGTGACAGCAAGAACAACATTTGCACTTGTAGTAAAGTATCGACTTATTTTAACGTGGTAGCGGAGCTGAGATCCTAAGCATAGGGGAGCTCCAGTAACAGCAGTAAGTACTACAACTGCACAGGCAACCACATGCCCAACTACTACGACATGTCAGGAGAACCAGCAGCAGCATCAGCACAACCAACTACAGGAGCAGACAACGGGCCCACAGCAGAGGAGACAATAGGAGCCACAACTACGGGAACAACACACAAATACAAACTGCCACCACCGTTCTTCACTGGTGACTAGTGGCTTTTCAAACTACAAGCATACCTCGGACTCATCGACCGAGACTTCGACATGGTACTACAACTAGCACAAGCAGCTACAAGACAAAATGAAGATGCAGACATCAGAGCCCACACACGCGACCCTACACAAGCAACAAAAGCAGTAGACCTCTCACGAGATCTACACTACATCCTCATCAACATCTGCCAAGGTGCAGCAGCTACAGTGGTCAGACAAAACCGCTACAATGCCAATGGATGGGAAACACTACGGCTTTTGCACAACAGGTTCAGCCTACCAGTAGGAACACGCAGTGTTGGCTACCTCACCAAACTACTGGAACCTACATTCAATGAAGCACAATTTGAAGAACACTTCCTACAGTGGGAGTATGACATCAACCGCTACGAGAAAGACAACGGCACAGCACTACCAGATGGAGTGAAGATTGCAATACTACTCAACAAGACCAAAGGAGCGCTTCAACAACATCTCCAACTACGTGCTGGACAGATCACGAACTACAACGAGATCAGAGTTGTCATCCTGGACTACTACAAGACCATATCTGCATTCTCAAGAGCGAGCTCAGCGGTTGGCACAAACTACAATGGTGGAACAGCACCCATGGACGTGGACAACATTTGGAGGAAAGGAAGAAACTACAAAGGCAAAAGCAAATATGGAGGCAAAGGATCCCACAAAGGAAACAAAGGAAAAGGCAAGTACAGAAGCAAAGGCCACTACAAAGGGTTTGACAAAGGTAACAAAGGAGGGTACAACAAGAACGGCTACAACAAAGGAAAAGGAAAAGGCTACGGATCCAAAGGCTACGGATCAAGCAAAGGCTACAAAGGCCAAAGCAACTACGGCAAATCAAAAGCAAAAGGAAACAGCAACTACATGACATGCCACAGATGTGGCAAACCTGGCCATTGGGCGCAGGATCGCAGAGTGCTCCTGAGCAAGAACAAGAAACTCAGGACAACAATGAGGAGCTACCTCAAGACATGCACGACACTTCGGATTGGTACTACGAAGGAGAAGAAGGACATGGACATGATGTGAACTACATGGAGGAGAGTTGGAACGACTACGACTGGAACGACAACAGCTGGGACTGGAATGACTACAGTCATGAAGGTGAAGCAAACTACATCGGAGGCATCAACGAGTCGCACCTCACCATAGGACACATCAGACAAGGAAGACCGCTACAATGTAAGCACAAACCCAAATCACTACTTGGGAAAAGAGCAACTCATACAACATCATGGAATGACCACAGCACCAATTATCAACAGTACCTACAAGAGGACAGACCTCAACTGCACCTCAACATTGCAGCAGCAACACAACAACAGAATCGAGGAAAACTTGACAACAACATCACTCACTACATTATGTACTCCAACTTCAAGTCCTACCACCACTTACTGATTGACTCAGGAGCGTCTACACATGTTTGCCCAAAGGACTACGCACCGGATCTTCCACTACGACCTTGTGGAGAATCAGTTCCACAACTCTACACTGTGACCAACAAGAAGATCCCCGTCTACGGCATCAAGTACGTTCCCTACGAGCAGGACAACCTCAGGATCATGATACCCTACTACGTCTGTGATGTGAAGTACCCCATTCTCAGTGCATCAAGACTACTTGATAGAGGACTGGACTTCAACCCGAGACACTGCACTATCTCACATGGACAACAACAAGCACAGCTTATTCGACACTCAGGACTTGTCTACCTACGAGCAGAAAAGATGAACATACCTGCAGGACACGACATCTACCCAATGACTACAGACAATGGAAAATCCATTGCTGTAATCCAGCCTACGCATGAGACAAAACAACAACAACGACAAGAACAAATTGCACCACTAACTCACACACACCAAGGACTAAGACGAATCCTTGGTGGAAACACTGACTACTGGAAACTCGATGGTGACTACGCCATCCGAGTCCACAAACGACCACGCAAAGCACTGTTCACACCACACAACAACGGATGCCCAATACCAGAAGAACAACTAGATGATTGGCGACTAACCATCATCAATAGACAAGGGCAAGAACAAAAGCAACTACAAGAGAACAGCACAAGATTGGCGACCGGGTGCTAGGGGGCATGCAGTTTGGGGTGCTGGCGCAGGTGCTGTTTTTGGGGGGCCTGGTAATGGCATGGACACGTTTTTGCGAGATTGACGGCAAGCTGCTAGGGGGCATGCAGTTTGGGGTGCTGGTGCAGGTGTTTTTTTGGGTGCTGTTTGGGGCGCTGTTTGATGTGCTGGTGACGGTGTGCGCGCATTTTTGCAAGATTGAGTGTAGGGTGCTAGGGGGCATGCAGTTTAGCGTGCTGCAAGTGCTGTTTTGGGGGGCCTGATGATGGCAGCGTTTTGCGAGATTGACGGCAGGGTGCTAGGGGGCACGCAGTTTGGGGGTGCTGGTGCAGGTGTTGGGGGTGCTGTTTGGGGCGCTGTTGGAGGTGCTGGGAGCATTTTTGCAAGATTGATGGCCGGGTGTTGTTTGGGGCGCTCTGTTGGAGGTGCTGGTGTGCAATCATTGTCCTGTTTTTCGCTGTCTGGGGTCTATGCTGGTGTATGTTTTTCTTGGCGAGGTTTTTTTCGGTCCGTGAAAGAAGGTTCCTTTCTTGTTCCTGTTTTGAGGAGGTGTGAGCTATGAGTGACAGACGTGCTCGGGGATCCGGATCCCAGGCAGAGCCATGCATCACGATATGAACCCGTGGACATGAGGAAGCCATATAGTGATCATTTAACTAGAGGTTCATGTTTTGGAATTCGCAGCCTGAGTGTCGCCGCAGAATACGCCACTGCAAAAGCAACCCCCAGCCAGCTTAAACACCAGCTTGCAGGAGTTTTGAACGGGCCAAGTTGAGTGCGACTTCCAGCCGGTTTTTCGCGAATGTTTGGAGTAAGATCCGCGAAAGTCTCGCGAAAGTCGACGGACCTCCCCGCCAGTTTCCGGACATGAGGCCAGCGGGTCTCGTGTGTAGCTAACGGCTTGTGAGCTGGAGCTGCGGAAGCGCGCTTCGTGTGCTACTTTGGAACTGAAAGGTGACGACTTTCGAGCTGGGGCTGCGGAAGTTTACTTTGTGTACTACCCTCTCAGCGAAAATCCTTCAGTTTTAAAGGGTCAAATAGGAAAACCTGGTTTTTGGGCAAGTTTTGGAAAATAAAGATTTTTTTAGGAAACGCCTGGTATTTCACTTACATCCTTTATTTTGGCACATTTCGCAAGCGAAATGTCGGATGTTTGAAGAACAGAGCAAAGGTGCCGGATCTCGAGCAGGTGTTGAAAGGAGCCGCCAGGTTTCTTTCACTGCCAACTTGCATATTAGGTTTCTAGATGTTTTTTTTGGAATCTCTTGTTTCCTTTTGTACCGCCAAGTGCGCGATAGCCCCCTGCTCCTCAAGATTGGAGCTCAAAAGGCAGGGGTAGACGCGAGGGCGTGGTCAGCCAAAACTCAAGAATGAAGCACAACCAGCTTGAATGTACAAGTGTGCAGTTCACTACATGACCATCAGTAGCCCTGCGTGATTGACACATCATGCTCAAGCATGGTACTTCTTTTGTATTTTTTAAAACATAATGCAGTATCCCAAAGTGGCACTTGCATTTGTTACTCGGCTCGGCGCACAAGCCAAATGCCAACAAAGCTGGCCTCCGCCTAAGTCGCATTTTCTTCCAGCACCCAGAGATTCCTCATAACTTCGATTCGATGGGAAGCACAGTCCAAGCCAAACATGTTGCGTAGTACGTGTTTGTGCCCGAAAACCTTCGGACGTTCTACCGCAATGTCATACAAAGCCAGTTCGCTGCTCGCGCAATCTAGCTGTGTGCCGGCTTTTCTTTGCTGGAAAGCTTCTGGAAGGGCGAGTGCGTGCGAAAACAAGGAAACCCATAAAAATCCCATACAAATCCGATAAAAAAACCTATACAAACCCATATTTTTCCGAAAACCCGGTTTTTCCTAACCCGTACAAAAACCGTACAAATCCCATCAAAATACCGTACAAACCCGTACGCGATTTATGGGATTTTCAGCCTCTGCTCAAACAGCTTTCCAGGCCCGAGTTGCCCGAAATAAGATTGCAAAGTGACCCTGCGAAAAGCAGTCATTCATGTGTTCCTGCTGTCCAGTGTTCAAAGTGGGTTATGTTCTTTTGGCTCGCTCCGAAAATTTCTGTTCCTGCGACGTTTATTTAGACAAGCCTGCAAGAAGCTCCGGGATCAATGCTTTAGCACGGGACTTGGTTGTCAAACAAGTGAGCATTTGCAAGACGGCCCTCCAGACGTATCCGACGCGAGCTTTACGCAAACAGTCCCAAGCAGATTGCTCAGTGCCATACACAATATGTATACACGTGCAGCTACCGCTTGCGGTAAACTGGGACTACTTGTTGCCCTTGTCAGAAAGTTCATATTCCAACGCTGTTTTAAACTTCCCGAGCCACGATCTGGGAAGCCTTCCCAACAAATTGCGGATTGACCATTGGTTCGAGTTCAGCAGGTGATGTGCAACAGGTGCCATGCTCAATGAGCTTGCTTGGATGGGATTGCTAGGCGGCCGTGGAGCGTTTAACTGGATGTAAGAGAGCCAACAAAAGGATTATATTGAGGGAACCACAATCATAACTCACGCAAGACCATTCTGATTACAAAGCAAAAAGAAAAAAGAAACGGGATTTCCTGGAAACACCTGGATATTTTGGTTTTGGATAAACGGATATTTGCTTAGAGGGTACTTTCGTATTAAAAAGTTGTGACATTCAAGCCGGGCTGCGGAAGTTTACTTCTTCCTGGAGCACCCTTCGTTACCTAAATTTCTGCCCTTAGCCCAAACGTATTGCAAAACCAGGGGCCGTCACCAAAATACGGTAAATGTACACTTTTTCCTGCTTCGAGCGTTTTTCCCAAAACCGGGCTGGTCGGTCCTCCAAGATGATTGGTCGCTGAATTTTCGAAAGGAGCGAGCAGAATTCGAAGTGCAAAACGAGCGCAAGTATCCGCAAAACGAGCGCAAGTATCCGCAAACGAGTGCAAATTCAAAAAATCGTAACAATGCCCGCCGTCCTTTGGATGGAAGAAGGGATTTGGTCGAGCGTTTTTCGGGGTGCGAGCGTTTTTTGCGGGGTCGAGCAGAAACCGGTAATTCGAGCGTTTTATTCTCGTACCTAAAAAAAGGCACGTTGGGTGCCTGAGGTTGTACTACTTTCGTCTTGAAAAGCTGCGACTTTCGAGGTGGGGCTTCGAAAGTGTACTTTGTTTACTACTTTTGTGATGTATGTTCTGCAAACAGCCCCGCGAAAGTTCCGCAATGGGGCCTGCGAAAGTTAACTGTTTTCTCGCGAAGATGGCGGTTTCCGGAACAAGGAATTTCAGACAGCCGTCATATATATATACATGTCAATAAATATGCGGAGAGAGAGAGAGAGAGAGAGAGAGAAAGAGATATATGGGGAGCGAGTTCCATGCGCTCCACCCAACGCTTATTAGCAAGGTGAGCCATGTAGTGGCAACCAGTCTTCTCCTCACTACAGGTGTGAATCATTTTCTGAAGCCTGCGACTCGGAGTCGTTGTCGCCAGGGGGTCGAGTCTGTGATAGTCTGTGAGTTTGCATGAATCATTTTCTGTGAGCACCTTTGCCTTCGACTCGTTTTTGCCAAAGGAGTCGTTCGGTCCGCGAGCGGCATCCGCGCGAGCCGAGGCCTATTTGCTGCCGGCGCTGGCCCATGTGGAGGTTCAAGAGCCCAAAGTCCGCGGCGCTGGCACTCCCATGGCCGCCGACTGAGATAGACCGACTCAGACCGACTCATTGGACCTGGGAAAAGGGGGGCAGAGGCGCGGCCTTCCAGTTGCTTAGGGGAATATTCTGGGTACTAGGGTTTTTGCTTCCTTTTCTTGGTGGTCGCCAGCCATCCGGTTCCTTATGTTTTGAGGTTGTTGGGGTCTAGTGGGAGTTTCCACTAAACACTAAAAGTTAAACTTCTAGCAGGGAATCTGAGGACAGCCCAATTTTGGTTGGGTGGATGTTAAGGATTCAGTATAGCGAACCCTGCTTGACCAAGTTATGCCCCCCGCAGATGAACAAGGCACCCACAAAACGACTAGTTTCAGAGATGTTGGGTGCACGGAGGTCCCATGAGGTTCTGTCAACCGCCCTAGCGTCCCAACCCTTAGCGGCTGGACGACCACAAACCCTCCCCATTTGTTTAGTGTCGCGCGTTCGGGACCCAACCATGTCTACCTTTGGGGTCACTGCAGTGATGGTAACAACTAGAGGTCTGTTTTGCTGCCCACCTGTGCCCAGCCTTGGACCCCTTTTGACATTGGTTGGATCTTGAAACCTTGGACGTTTTGGGAATGTGTGTGTGTGTAAGTGAGTGTGTTCCCTTTGTAACCCCCGCAACTCATCATCTTTTTCGCAACATGTGCATGTTCAACGACACATGTTACACTGCCTGCACTGGAGGCAACATCACAAGATCGCCCCCTCTGGATAAGCGATGGATGAACCCCTCCGAAAACTGGTGGAGAAACCACTCATGGCTCTAGAGGTAACTTCCCCATTCTTTCCAGGCATCCTTCTTTCTACAAAACCACCAAAAACCATGGGGAAACAGCTGGGTTTTGAAAAGAACAATGGGTTGAAGAGAATGGGGAATCTTCCCCCATGGCGTGGCTTTGCGCGTGGGCGCTTGAGTGCTTGAGGTCCTGATTCTGGCGCCCACCCGGGAGCTGGCGGTGCAGATCTGTGACATGGCCAAAGCGGCCCGGGAAGCCCAGCTTTCGAAAGGTGCGGCAGCTGGGGGGTCTCCGTGGAAAAGGACGCCCCATTTATAGGTGTCCTTTTTGGGTGAGCCTGGTTAAAAATAGATGGCACTGGTTTAGGTGGGTTTTATTCCATTTACCAGGGCCATCTATTGCGCCTTTATGGCCACCTATGGCTCCAGCCCTCCATGTCCCAATTTTTTTGGAGCTCCTTTGGGTTGTAGCCCAACATGAAACGCAACTTTTGGAGGGGAAGTATGCTTGTTCGGCCAGGCGAGGACTCCTGATGTGAAGTGTACGTGACCAATATAACTGTTCGCCCGGTCTTCCGCAGAGTTGGGATTGGAAGCCGTGTTGGGATGGCGGAGGAAAGGGGGCAATTCTACGGGGTTGGCTCCCCGCTTGAAAGGTAGGTTGACAAGGCCAACGCACGCTTCGAATGTTTTTCAGGAGGGGGAGACTACCATCCCTGACGCTGGTGTTGTGTTGTTTCCAGCTTGGAACTCTTGGAAAATGGATTGGCCAACCCTCCGTTTTAACAACTCGGCCTATTAATCTGTACAAATTGTAGGTAAAACCAGCTCACCGGGTGTCCTTTGTTCTAGTTTGGGAACTGTAGTACTTTGCCCAGATTAACAAACCAGGCATCTTACAGCCTTCTTTGCCCAGATTAGGCCGCATGTGGTTGCAGCATCTTTGCCTTGGCACTTTACAATATTACCTGAGGCCGTAAGCACATACGGCCTTGTTTCACGCGGCTCTTGCGGTGCAGAATCACACTGAGAAGGCCTTAGCTAGTTGCACGCGTGGCGTGCGTGTTTGTTGGCCAAAGCAACTGTCGTGGCTTAAATGTACTCATTCTCCACCTTTTATTCGGAAGTGGGCGTTGCAGGGCCACACTCCGCACATTGATCGCATTCCCTTGTGTTGAGTTTCATCTCCCCGGAGCTGCCGCGCTTTGCGGCTCTGCGGCTGCAAAGGTCCCCGCAGCTTTGATGGCCAGATGCTTTCTTTCTTCCTCTGACAAGACGAGAAACACGATGCCTGCCAAGCGAAGCTCTGAGGTGATGCGCTTTTCCAAGAAAGGCAGCAACCACCCAGGCAGGGGGCCGTGAGCGTGTGTTTCTCGTGTCTCTGCTAGTCCGAAATGGATTTTGCCCATCCACAGTAGCTCGAAAATGAAGAAGTACTTGCTTTTTCTCGATGCAAGACCTCAGTTTGGCCAATGGGAAGATGGGCTCCGCGAGCCCATGCCGTCCGAGCGCTTCATGTTTTTTGGCGGCGGCTGGTCCCCTGGACTTGTTTGCATTCCAGTGGTAGATGCCGTGACTGCAGGGGGTCCGGGCACCTTTCGAAACTGAGGCTGGCCCACGTGAGTCTTGGTTTGTGCGGGGATGTTGAGTCCTTGTGTTGCTCAGACCTCAGCGCGGGAGTGCTGTACGGTGGCGGCCAAGGCAGCAAAGGCTGGCAGGCGTGGGCGCGTCTCCGGCGCTCGTTGCGCGTGCCGGTTGCGGCTGCTTGAACTGCCTTCCTTGCATCTCTCCAAGTTTGGATGAGTCTTGAAGGGCTGCCCTTACGGAACATCACTGTGGTTAATTACCATCTTTGCTCCACATGGCGAGCCTCGCCGAAAGCAAATGCGCCGCAGGTCTGCGGCCATATGTGCAGAAAGCAATGCTAAGATTTGCATTGGCGAAGATTCGGTGATCGTTTGCTGAAGATGTGGGTGGTTTTGCGTGAGTGTTCTTGCGACGTTCAAGAATCGCAGAGTCAAATCCTTTGCGCCCGAAGGGCTAATGCAAAGCGTATAACTTATAGTCTTATAGCAGTTTAAAATGCGCCATGCCTTGGTGGAAATTACAGTTCCCCGCTGGCATTGACTTAAGGCGACCGGGGAGGACGTCTTGTGGGATGATTTGCTAGATGTTCAGACTCCCATAATTTGTCACTTGGAACATTGCCCATGGAAAACCCGGCGCATTAAGACTTTAAGAACCCGGAAGAGCTGCGCCACATATTCAGTCCCATGCAAAAAAAGCAAACACAAAAAACACAATGTGACGTCAGACAAACATGTTGTCGCACCAACCTGGGTAATTAGCCTTGTTGGGGGATTTCATTTGGGTACAGGCCCTTGACAACCACCGGATTTGCAAAACAGTTCGCCGAAAATTGTTCTACGTTGGGACACGAGCAAATCCCAACCAGTTCCGACATCCAACGGAAGCCGGAGGGCTCGACTTGATCCCGTTTGTTCAGCGGCGCCCTCAAAATCCCGGTGGGTTTCGAAAAAAAACATGGCACGACTCCGACTGGTTCCCCTTCCTTTTTGCATGCAGGGGGTCACTGGATACAAAAAACCCGGCCCCTCTTCATGGGCCGCTTCTCCCCGTTTTTTCTTTCTCCCGGCGTGGAAAACCGTGGCCGGCCAGGTTGCGGACATCAAGAGCGGCGGGCAGGTGGTGGCCGCCACCCCGGGGCGGCTGTTGGACGTCATGGACTCCGGCCCCTGGGATCGACGGATCGACGAATCGACGACTCGGCGGATCGCCACACCGGCGAGAAAGCCGAGAAACGCGCGCGGCGCGCGGGAGGTATAGCCATGCGAGTTCCGCCATGTGCGTCTACAGGGTAAGTGCTGTAAGTCGTCCCGGGTTGATCTAAGTCGCCCCAAGTGAGTGTGCCCGTTGTGTTTGTGGATGTAAGGATAGTTGTCTCAAGCATGTCATTTTCTGAAATCGCATATTTCTGTGCTGTGCGTATGCAAAATGTATGATGTTCTACTTGAGGTATCCCGACAGAAAGGTGCCCATGAGATCCCAGATTGATAACATCAACATTTGGTCGGCTTCCATGTGCCGTGTGCATGCGTGTATGTTCACTGCCACTGGGTGGTTCTCTCTTCTCGTGCCGCAGCACTTGAAGTTGTGCCACAAGCGGAAGCAATCTTCATTGGGATGAGGGCACGGCTCACCCGGCGCTCGCGCAGAGTCGCGTGGCACTCGCGCCGGCAGCCCCCTTGTAGGTAGCCATGCGCGTCTTGTGTTTGGGCCAATGGTCTGCCGTTTGATTTCCGATCTTTAGCTCCTTTCGTTAGCTGAGGAGATATTTCCCTGGAGCGTGTGACGTACTTTGTCCTGGACGAGGCGGATAGGATGCTGGAATGTGGTTTTGAGGAGCAGGTCGGCCGAATAGGATCGAAGCAGGGCAGCAAAGGGTCGGTGGTGGGATGCGCGGCCAAGCGTGTGTCAGCTTGGACTTGATTTGACCAATCCAGTTTTGTGTAGTCGATCTTAATAAGACGCTAGAAGCCATTGCGCTGCTGCTTTGCAAGCTGTGCATGCTCATGCTCATGAGAACTTGTTTTTGCTCCCTGGTGCGGGAAGCAACACGTTGACGTATATAGTCATGCTCCAAAGCTCTTTGATTGTCCTTTGCGCAGACATTGCTTAGAGCAATTGTTTTGTGCTAAATAATCTTGCATTTTTGCCAGCCTACGCTCGTAGAATTCAATCCAGATGCTTGGAAGGGCAAATGAAGTATGCCTGGGGCATAGTGTTTGGGAAGACAAAATGCAGCCCGCAAAGTAAGACAGCGTGTCCATCGTGTCATTTCCCTATGTTGGTTGTTTGAACAACCCGGCCAAGTTTCTCGCTCCAGTTGCCAAGCGGCGCCTTACTTTTGGGCACAGTGTCCTTCTCCGGTTGGTCTGTCGCCTGTTTCTTTTTCTGTCTTCCCTTAATGGGGCTTGGCCTCCCTGCGTACTCCGGGTGGCGCGTTTTTGGTGGCACGTTTTTTTTGTTTTGTCGGGAAAGTCCTTTTGAACTGAGCCAAAGAACAGCCTAGCCAGCAAATGTAGTATGCGTGGGGCATAATAGTGTTTGGGAAGACAAAATGCAGCCCGCAAAGGAAGACCGCGTGCCCATCGTGTTATTTTCCGTTGGTTGTTAGAACAACCCGGCCAAGTTTCTCGCTCCAGTTGCCCAGTGGCGCCTTTTCCCTTCATGGGGCTTGGCCTCCCTCTGTGCTCCGGGTGGCGCGTTCTTGGCTGCATGCTTCTCTTGCTTCCTCGGGAAATTCCCTTTGAACTGGAGCCAAAGAACAGCCTTCGCACTCAAAAGCAATCCTTATAAACCTTATGCCTGCTGAGTGGTTGAATCCTTATGCCCGGGTTTCCCGTGTCTGCTCTCATCCGGACAGGTTTGCACCTTGCCAACCAAAGGCCACCCACAGGGCACCAAGGCTTCGTGGCCGGTCAGCTCTGTTTGATTGGAATCTGACGGAGTGGTTGAATTCGAGACCCCCCTTTTCTTGAAAGGGGCAGCTTTGTTTCAATCCACCTTAACCCACGAGCAAAAGCGCAGAGACTCACCCAAGACCGGGGAGAAATCGCCAACCACCGGCCAAACAAAAAACAAGTGCAACAACCGCCCCCAAACTTGCAAAACAATACTTGGCGGTTCCCAGCCATTCGGTTCCTTTGCTTTTAGACCTTTTTAGTTGGTTTAGTGTTTGGATTTCCGAAGTTATCCCATTAAACGTCAGTCACTTTTGGCGGATCTGAAAACGGAGAGCCCAGAAAACACCCGGGACGCCGCTTGATTGAAACCCCGGGGCGGGCGTCGTCACGACGTCGACCTCTCGCTCCCCCAGCCGAGGACTGTGCGCCGGGATCGGCACACCTTGTTCTTCTCGGCGACCTGGCCGAGCAAAGTGCAGGACATGGCCCAAGTCATGCGCCCGAGCTCAGCTCGATCTGTGGCTTTCCGGTGCGGGGTGGGTAGGTGGGTGGGTGGGAATAGGGTGGGAATAGGGTGGGTGGGTATAGCGTGGGTGTGCAACATGACTGGGTTGAATTGGGAGCGACCTTTGGACGCTTTTGGCTTTAACCAAACTGTTTGGCTTCTAGGCCCAAAAAGGATTGAAGGCCAGGGACGAGGGACCCCTGTCAGTTTGCCAAACGTTGGGGGGGATGTGTCTTTTGGTTTCTCTTTCAACTTTCAATTAAGCTGAAAAGCGTACCCTCGAAGAAGCACAAACCCGATAAACGCTCCCTCCCCCAAAGGCCACCGTCCATTTTGTTCAACCCCAAAGAAAGCAGCATCGCCCACCTTCAGCCTGGGTTCGATCGACCTCCTCTAACTTGGGCGCTGCCTGAAACAAGGCGCGACGGGGAGCCCTTAAGGGACACCACAACCTCAAGAAGGGTACCTGAAACAAATGGTGTGCCATTTTCATCCGGACCACTCGTGCTTGCGGTGGGGGATTTGCCTGCCCCTCCCATCATGGACGTGCGCAGGCGGGTTTTGGATCCAAAATTGTTGGACAGCAACCAAAGGCCATGGACAGTTCCTAGAAAAAAACCAACCACCGCAACCCGGCCCAAAGCCCAGTCCAATACGGGAGGAAAACCCATTCGAAGACCCATTGGCCTCGTTTCCGTTTCTCGAGGTGCTCCAGTGACCTGCCCCCGGTGCGTGTCATGGTGGGCCAGCGAGGGGATGGAGAGGGCCCGGTGTCTCGGGCAGACATCTTGCAGGAGGCCGGAGGAGGGGGTCTAGGGGAGGGGGGGGTTCAGGAGGGCGGGCAGGGGGGGAAGCTGAGGAACCCGTATCACCAGGTCACTAGTTAATGAGTTTTGGAAGAACTACTATTGGCTCGGCCAAACGTCCTTTCGCCAGGATAAGGAAACATGTGGCCGTCTACGGAACCATTGTTTCTCTGAACAAACAAATGTTTCTTCTGAATTCATGTTTCTTGTGTGCGTTTTGCATGTGAGGAGACGTTAGTTTCCAACGGAGAAACAACTGTTTCCCGTGTGAAAGGTTTGTTTCCGTCTCGAAAACACATTCTTCCTACAAACGTTTATTTTACCTTAGGAAACTTATCGGAAAGCCAAAAGTAACTACTTTAGCAACTTGGCAAGCAAACGTTTCATCACATGGTGTAGATTGTTTGTTTTTGTTTGTTTGTTTGTTTGTTTGTTTGTTTGTTTTCTGTGAAGCTCTTTTAGGGGACACTTACTGGTCGAAGGTAAGTTTCAATATTTCGCGATCTCGGGCTGTGAGTATGTTTCTTTGCGCGCAAACTCTAGTTTCGTCAAAAGGTATCCTAGGGCTTCGCCATCACCAGCACCCACCCCACCCACCCTCCCGCCACCCACCCTCCCCTCTTACCAGCCCTTCTCACCATTCCCACCCACCCAACCAACTTCATCCACATCTGCGCATCGCTCAGTCGAGGCACGCTGCACGTGCTTATTTCCCCCTGCACTCAGCCACTAAGCGCACGCGCCCTCCGCTTCTGATGCTTTGTTAGCGCTGCCTGCCAGTCGGTGGGGTTGGGTTGGGCTAGCGTGAGTCGCAAGCCCATGTCAATGTCATGTGATACATAAACTTATCATTATTCCTAACTTCATCCCATGCATTCCACAGACTACACACGCACAGTCCACGGTGCAGATCCGTGCTTGTGCAGGTGGTTGTCTTTGATCAGCACCTCGGATGTGCAGCGCAGTGCCTTCTTTGGCGCCAAGCATATGGGAATCTGTCAAATAAGGTGTGTGTGTTGAGCACCCCTCAAAATGCTGAGACTCCCCTGGTGGGGTTGAAGGGCCTTTGTTTACAAGAGTATGTAAACAATTTGTAGTTTGGGAGCTTTTTTCCCAACAGCTGAAAGCTTTGGGGTCTCAGCCCAGATAGGCTCCGGGGTGGTCCGTGGCGGCCCTGAGGCAAGGTTCCACGAGGGTTCCACCAGGGTTCCACCAGGGTTCCACGGGGTGGTGCGAGCAGTAAGAGGAGCACCGCGTGCCGCATGCTGTTGGGGATATCACCTGAGCTTATTTCTGTTATTTTTTGGGGGACAACCAAGAATCTTTATTCCCTTAATACTGTCTTGTCAACCCCCAAGTACTACCCCCCTTGTGGGGTTGATTGGGGGCCACTTTTTAAGCAAGAGTATGTCAAGAGTTTGCAGTTTGGGAGCTGGTATTTGTTGTAGATCTGAAATCTTAAGGCAGGCGAGGCAGTTACTATACTGACCAATCAGACCAGCTAGTGGAAGAGGTTGAGATGATGCTGGCGGTGTGTGTGTGTGTGTGTGTGTGTTGTTTGGCGTGTTTTTGCGAGTGTGTGTGTGTGTAGATTCCTCGAGCCTATCTGGGCTGAGACCCCAAGGCTTTCAGCTGTTGGGTGCCAAAGGAAGCTTCAATCCCAAAAAAAAGGAATTTCATTCCACCTGCCTAAATTGAAAGAGGACGATGAGTCAAGAGAGGAGGTGTCGAATCCCACCTAGTCCAGCAATCAAATGACGATATTCTGCTTGGACGTCCCAGTTCTTCATGGAACTCCGAAACCAAACTTTTGGGAGCCGACAAAACCACTTCGAAGGCCCAAAGAGGTGTAGGGTTCTGGGATTTGAAAAGGACAATTTCTTTCTTCAGCTTCGCTGGACACTCGCCCCGCGGCCAACTGAGGGCCTCTTGGAGTGACAGGGACGCTGCGAAGCAGGCGTGGAACCCAGGGTGAGGGCTGTGCTTTTGGTGCCATGTTTGAGCCTGCTCGGAGATCGGTCTGCCAGAAATGCTCCACGTTGCAAAGTAGCTCGTGGGGTTGGTCTAGAAACACGGCAGCTTGATTCTTTGAGACACGTAGTTCCCGTGCAGGGTCGCCAGCTGATAGTCCTTTGGTCAAGATTTTGAAGAGCACAACAATGAACCAGACATGCTGGTCCAGCCCCCAGAACAAAACCGACTGAAGACCATTGACCGTGCTCAAATGCGAAGCGCAACCATACCAGGCGTGCCAATTTTGGATGTTCTGGCAGACGCAGCAATCAGTTGTTTTGCTCTTGTGCGCATGTTTGTTGATGTGTTGTTCTTGTTTCAGGATCATGTAATTGTTGCAAACGAGGGTGGGTGAGCTGTTTGAGACTCTCTTACCCTGCTCTCCGGGCTGTTCAGTATCACCCCTCTACGCATTGCGGATTAGCATTAGGGCTCGTTTTCGCCAGTTTGTACAACCTGAGTAAGCTGGTTACATCCATTCTTGTGATTGGGGTGTCCGTAAAACCCACTCCCCCGATCCAACTGGGCCGAAGGGCGCAGGCCATCGCAAGCCCAGGAGCTGCTGTACGCGCACCTGAGAGAGGTCTTAGCAGGGGCCCTTGAGCGGCTGAGGTTTGGCCAGGGGGCGATGTGGATTGACAGGGGGTTTAACAGGTCCCCGCATTTTCTTAAGAACTCATCCTGTTCAATCACAGGGAGGGAGGGACGTGCGGATTTATCAGAAGAGCTTGAAATGGTTGGGGGTTTCGGCAGGGGGCCAGAGGAAGCTGAAGCGGGCGCGAACAGATGAGCCAGGTGTTCTGCAAGACTGATCCTGTTCTTCTTAGATTCGATTGCAAAGAGGGCGAGTGTCAAGGGCAAGCTCACAACGGATATCACTTCTTTGCAACTTGTAGCAACTTAGCAATGCGGTGTAAAAGCCTAACTTGTGAAGGAGTTTCGCTGATGAGGATCCTGATTTCGAGTTCTTCTTCTTCTTATTATTATTACTCCCAGCCACCCTGCGTTTGAAGAACATATCATTGGTGATTCATGCGAATTCCCATCACCATTTCTTTTGTGAGGGGCTGGGAAAGCGGCCAGGGACTAGTCGGCTGGCCTTTTTGGCATTGAATGACAGTGCGAGGAGAGGCAGGCACGAGGGGGAATTCAAGGAAGGAAGGCAGGCTATGGGAAAGCTTGGAGTGCAGCTTCCTCTGGCAGATACGAAGCATTGCGACACTCAACTTGTCTACAAATCAGTGTTTGCTCCTCATTTGTTTCTTTGTTTGAGGGTTGTTCAAGAACCAATCATGGAGTCTTTGTTTTGGCTCCTGCCAAGGGCGGGGCAACCGGGCAACCGGGCAACCGCCTGCCGAACCCGCCCAGTCGGATGACGCCCACAAGATCCTGGTCTTCGTGAGCCGCAAGAGCACCTGCCCGAGTCATCTAGCGTCGGTGTCGTCGGCGTGGAGCCCCCCAGCAAATCTGCTCAGACGGCTGTACCTTTTGTCTGGTTTCCTCTGTACCACGACCAACTCATGCAAGAGCATGATTGGTGCAACGGACTGGTTTCACCCCAGCAAAAGTTTCACCATGTTCTTCAAGATTCCGAAACATTGTTAAACATCTGTCAAGTTTATATCCCAAGCTTCTTCAGGTATAATTCACTCCTGTGTTTAGATCCTAAATTCGAGATCATCTATTCTCCTGCCCATTCTTCCTCTCCTGTTTTGATGTGGCAACTGTATGTCCTAGCAACCAGATGCGCTGCAGGACTGCCCTTCCCTTCCCTTCCCCTCATTTCTCCCCTCCAGCCTCCCTGAAAAACGGCCCATGCTTCCTCCCCGGCCCTGCCGCCCTTCCCCCTTCCCTGGGCTTTCCTCTTTAGTCCATTTCCTTTCCCTTTCCTTCCCTGCCTTTCATTTCCCTTGCCGCGCCGACAACCCGTTTGCAACGCCGGAATGCGGCTCCTATTGGGACCCACCCGAGCTCGGTGCGAGGGCACCTTCTCTTCTTTTTCGGGGTCCGTGTTTCCCTTCAACAACAAAACATTGAACCCGGAAGGGAACCATTGTTGGGGGGGCTTGACGTTGGCTGGAAGCAACGACAACTTCCTTGGCTTCTTGTCCCACGGCTGGGCAAATCTCCCTTAATTTCGAGATCTGCTGCAGGCTGGCAATTCGGGACGCTTCTGATGGAGACTCGAAAGCTTTGCCCATTTCGGCCGTGTGAAACAAATACTTAACACATCACACAACACATGCCAGCTTCTTTTTTAGCCGCCCCCAAAAAACCCTTCTCAAAACGACAAGAACAGCACCACACACACACACACATTTGCCGGTTTTCCTGTGGGTGTCCCTTTCAACCCACCGGGTGTGGTGCCTCGATCCGATTCCCCCGCCTCTCCGACGGCTCGAAAGCCGCCGGCCTCGAAAGACGGGGCCCCGAGACCTGGCGGACACCTTGGCCAAGCGCCTCAAGGAGGAAGGCTTTAGCGCCAACGTCATGTGCCTCGGCGCCTGAAACCGGCCGTGGGTGGGTCAAAGCCGTTCAACGGGATCCCAGTTTGGTAGGTGAATTCACCACCCAGCTTGATGTTCACGGTACGATTTGGATTTTGACCCATGGCAACCACTTGCGAGAGATGCGGGGAATGAATGAACCGGTGGATGGGGACTTCCGAAGAAAGGAAACCAGAACAGTTGACTAGTTTTGGACATTGCTTAAAGGAGGCAGAGCCAAGCCATGTTCATTCCAGTTTTACGTTCTGCGACTGATCAAGGGAAGCCTCGTTAAAGTGACAAGACAGTGATGGCGACCGCTGCCTTTGGAGGAATAGGAATGAGAGTTATGGAATGACCCCGATTTAAACCATCCCTTGCTGGTGGTGTCCTTTATTCGGGAATCCCCATGAACCGTTCGGGTTGGACGGTTTATAGGGGTCATTCCATGTCTCATTCCATGCTGAGCACCAACAAGTTTGTTTGATTTGGTACCCGATGGGGAACCCAACAGGAAGACTTGTATGGATGGTGGGTCCTGGTCTGTCTCAAAGCTTTTTTTGGGGAGCAGATGTTTGGTTGGGTTTAAGGGGCCCATGGACACCAAGCATTTCAGGGTTTCCGAGCCATTTCCAACGGGGTAGATGAAAACCGGTTTGAATACTGGTTAGCACGCCCTAAACCCTAAACCCTAAATACCAACTGGTGCAGGATTTTGATTTTGTCCACCCACAGTACCACAGGGGTCCTTGCAATTGAAATTTGTTTTCCAGGACGTGAGAGGTGCCGTGGCAACATGGGGATGAAAGGGTACACACTCAAAATAGGGACACCAACTGTTGAGAAACACCCAAATAGAGAGCAGGCGTCACTAGATTTCCCCTTCACAAAGTTGATCAACTTACTGGTGGTTTGATTTGAACCGATCGGTTTCCACTTTTGGAGGTGACCCAACAAATTGCAGTCCTGAAAAGAACACCAAACATCGGGTGCCACATCAAGTGCAGGAGCTTGTCCATCCACAGCATGTCTTTCCTTTTTTTGTGGGGGGGGGGAAGCACCAGTTGTTTTTATTGGGCACACGGAAACCAACCATTGTGGGACCCGGTCCCCTAAAAAAGACTTTCGAAGTTGACCCTTAAAACCCAGCTTGGTTTGGTTTTGGAAACCCACGCGAAAACTGATAAGTCCATCTCTTGGGGTTGAGAGGAAACTAAGGGCAACACCGGAATCAGTTTGTTAGGTCGTTTGGCACAAATATCACATATCCATAGAAATGGCTAAAACATTCGATTCCTTGTCCTAATCTGAAGTGGGACAACACTACCACCTGTCGATATCGAAGAAACCAGGATATGCTCTGGCAGGCTATGCACTGGGAGGCTATGAGCTGGGAGGGTTTTCCGTTTTGGTCTTTGCGTAAACGTCGAGAACATCCCCCCGAAGACAGAAAACAGAACCTGCAAAGAGCCAAGCACTCACCTGTTGTTGCTTTTTGCTTTGCTTTGTTTCTTTTGTGAGGGGGGAGTCTGTTGGGGGGGACTCACGGGAACCCAGGGAAGAAAATGGCCCGAGTTTCGGGGGCCCTTTTTTGAGACCAGCGACCCCACCCACTCATTGGTTTTGGGGTCCATAGAACAAAAGGTACAATGGATGTCAAAAACGGCTTTGGAATCGGCAAAGCAGGGTCCCACGTTGCGAGTAGTCGGGCACTCGGGTTGTTCTTTGAAGCTTCCCAGTAGAATGAAGAGAACCATGAAACCACACAAACTGAACTCATCCCTTTGGGCATCAAGTCCAATAATATGGGGTTCTGTAACTTACATACATAATTGGAATCGGGGTGTGGGATACTTTTGACCTTTCAATGGGTTTTGATTTGCGACATCCCCATTTGGACCCATCAGCCACCCCGTGTTCCAAGATCCTACAACGAAAAATCGTCTAGCCGTCAATCCTAACTTTGTTGGAGGGATCAAACTCTAAGACAATTGTTCAGAAAGTCTCTCTTCCAGTAACCAAAATTAGGAGTTGGATAGAGACCAGGATAGTTTCTGGACAGTTGTTCAACTCCTTTATCCTTGTTCAGAAAGTATCTCTTCCTGGAGTTGGAGACAAGTTTTGGCTGAGCCCTGCACGGCACAAAGGCCGGAACTTGCATTGGTTCCTTGGTAAGGGGAGACAAAACAACGGACCTCCCTAGAAAGGTTCTCAGAACTCCTTGATGAGAATTCCTAAGTGAGGGATAGTCGGCTATTACAGTGGACCCTTCTATTTGACTGGGTTTCCCTCCCAACATCAGGTACTTGTAGGTATTGATTTGTTTTTTTTCACTGACGTTCCCTCTGAACAACAGCTTTCAAAAAGCAGAGATGTGTCCTCAGTCCCTTTTTTCTCCAACGAAACCAACAAGAACCGCCCCGAGCCATGGTTGTGTGGAAACTTGGATTTTAGTGCAACTTTCTGTCATTAATTCAATCGTGATCAACTGTGGCTCCCTTCCTGAATTCCCAGTACTTTACTTTTTGTTTTTTGTGGAAAGACAATGTTGGTAGTAAACAAAGAGCTCAGACGTTTTTGGCCCATCCACTCCGACAAAGAAGCGCGCTGGGGTGATTTTCTCGAGCCGTGGCTCCCCTCGGTCTCAGAGTCAGCCGAGTCAGCCGAGTCAGCCGAGTCAGCCGAGGCACGGGGGCAAAAGCCAAGACTCCAGGCTGTCCACCTTGGAGGCTTCGGAAGCGAAACGGCCGATGGTTTTCGGCGGAAGGGAGATGGCCCCGTTTTCTCCAGCCAGACACGTGGGCTGGAAACCCTTCTTGGTTTTGACGGTTTTTAGAGGGAACCTCTGAAAGTCAAGTGCCGAAACATTCACCAGGGTCTGGGAGCATGTTGAACTGGACTGGCTTGCGGGTTCAAGGCGATCCTGCGAGACAAAACATAGGGGGATTGCGGAGATATGAGCAGGAAACAATCATTGGTGAGTGCCCCCTATTTGAAGACGCACGCAAATGGACCCCCTAAGAAAGCCCTTTCGACGTTACGCTGGTATGCGAATCTTTGTCTGAAGCAAGTACAGCATGGGTAACCAAGTTTGCTTCTCCAAATGCGGGGTTGTCAAACATATATGCCACCATTTTGGATCCTGATGCCGCCCTGTGCTGCTTTTGAAAGGGGGCAACCAAACGAGGGAGGGGCCCCAATTTTAACCCCCCGCCCAAAAAAAAACAAACACAGAAGTTAAGCTCTGCTTGGTTTCCTTTCAAAATACAGGTTGAATTTACTCCCAAAACACATCGAATGTGGACGATGTGTGTACATAGTATATTCGATCCATTGGTTTGCTTTGCGTTGTCGGGCCTCGTCTTCTAGAAATACGTAACCCGTATCTGTTTTCGCCCCCAGAACGAGCAGGGTTTGGGGTTGCCTCTGCGTTGGAAGAGGAAGGTGCAAGCGGAGCTCCTGACTGGCTAGGATGACACTAGTAGCGCTGGCGTTTAGGGCAGGGTTCAAGGGCTTGAGACGGGCTCGCCGCTTAGGCTCAGCTTGGCCTGCCAGCTATTGTGCAAGTGAACGGATCGATACGCTTCGCAGACACTGTGGAGATGGAACAAGTCTGGCTAGGTGGCCTAAGGTTAGCTTGGTTAGAAATTGATGGATTCCACTGGTTTAGATTGATTTATTTCCCTGCAGGGAAACCCATCTATTCTTCCAAGAAGCCACGGATGGTCCGGCTCTGGGCCTGCAAAACCGAGAGTTTTTATCGAAGGTTGGCGGCCCAAAACCACGAGAGTGTTCACCAAGCGAAGGGCGGGCGGATGCCCGCGACCAGATTGAGCCATACGTTTTAATTAAAGCGATTATTTGGAAATGAGGTTGGGGGGTTCGGGTTTGTTTTGTTTCCCCAACAGCGGAAAGCTATGGGTCTCTGCCCAGATAGGCTCTGGGGTGGTTTGGAGCAGCTTCAAGGTAGCGCCGCTGTTGGGCAGGGCTTCCGTGGCGGCGAGACCAAGCTTCTCGTGACCACCGATGTCATGGGTGCGGGGCCCCGACTTCATCCCATGCGGGCGGAACCGCATTGGCCGCGCGGGTTGAGGCCAAAGCCTCTGTGCGAAGGCTAGCTTAGAGGCTATGCAGTCTGGGTTTGCATGCTGCATGGTCACGGGAGTGGACCAGAAGGTCCTTGTACGGACTTGTGACCATAGCGCTGCCGGCGCTTGTGCCTGCAAAAGAACCGAAAAGGAGTCTGAGAAAGGTTTTGTCGCGAAAGATTTAGCTAAGGCTTCTTGGAGGCATGCTTGCGTGCTTATTTGCAGGCTCCACTCCCTTCTAGTTCCCAGCAAAGCCCAAATGTCGGTCCATTTTGGAGAGCAAGCTTTGCGAAGGATCCGCGAAAGACCGGCCAAAAGGCCCGTAGAGCTTGTTGCCAGGTTGGAAAATGGGGCCCAGGACAGAACATGTCTGGCAAGCTGCTTCAAGTTCGCCAGTGCACGTGGGCGGCATGGCAGGGACGGAGTCGCGAGCAACCTCGCGCAAGCGAGCTTCTTCTGGGAAGTAAGCGGTTTTCTAGAAGCAGGGATGTTGCGCAACTGCTACCTGCGGTTCTGTGTCTGCAAAACAACGAATCGGCAAAGGGCTACCCGGAGTTCGCTTATGTCAGTGATGGCGGGTCGCTCTATAAGGGGTATGGGGGGGCTCGTGTTGACTCGAACACTTGAGCCGCCGCGCAGCCACCATTTGGTGTGGGGGCCTATGAAATGAGAAGGGCCGCTTCACCATATGAGCCCAACTACAGTAAAACCCAAGAATGGCATGCGTGTGCCCACCGTACGCCTGACTGCTGTGGAAGCGCGCCGTGCGCAGCAAGGAGGACGCGTTGGCGCCAAGGGCGGCCAGCTTCTGTTCACACTGGGGGCCGAGTTTTGGGGGGCCTTCACGGCTTTCCCTTCTTGGGACGTGAGCTCGTCCGAGGCCGCGGCTTGGACATCCCTGGCATCTCCCATGCCCGGGAACCTGAGAGGGTCGTGTTCCGTGGGGGAGAGATGAGCAGCGCCCATGGGTGGCCAAGGCAGGGAGCATGCCGGCCGCTAAGGGTCTTTTGGTGGCTGCGTAGCCAGGAATCTGGATGTGTGAGGCGTAGGTTGTAGGTTGGGAGAGTCTCGGCCCATGAACAGGCTGCTCCCCCTTGAATGGCTTTGTCCTGACAACGCGCCCTTTTGTCAGCTTTCGTCAAGTCACCGACCCAAATGGTAAGCCTCCACACTTTGACAACCTGCAGAGCATGAAGTAACGCAGCATGTCCTTTGCTTAAAGGAATGCCCCCTGCCAAAACACCCTAGCTTTACTTTGAGTCAAAAGGAGCCCTGGCTTTCAGGCTGTTGGATCACGCCCACATGACACACCGTTGCTTCACTGTTCTTGACATCCATCTCCGCTTCACATGAAACAGAGTACCTGCGCAACTATTTACGTGTAGCAAACCAGACTATGGTTCTCACCCTGCATTGACTGTCATTTGGCAAATGCAGATTTTAGAGTTACGGGCACGTCATTGACACATGCTCACCACAAGCAATTCCAAGAAGCACGGTCTCTCGTGTTCGCAGACCAATTCGGCAGCTTATGTGTTGCCGCTACGATCATAGGTGTCCTTTTTGGTTGTTTTGGTAGACAAATAGATGGCCCTGGTTAAACCTGGTGGTTTAATCACCTATTTTCAGGGGAAAGCAAAATGCGCCCAGGAAAGTTGAGATGCCTCGCCACTGTGATTCTTTTATTTTGAGACACCATTGTTTCCTGGTATTTACAGGGGGAATCACACCATTCCGTTGGGTTTCTGAACGGTATTGCGCACCATCGAATGAATCTCAGGTGGACTCGCCACACACGAGCTGCGGATACCATCGTAGTCATAGGTGTCCTTTCAGGGGAAATAGATGGCCCTGGTACATCCCAAACGGATGGCGCCCTGAAGCGTCAACAACTTGGTGGCTCCCAGCCATCCGGTTCCTTAGCCTTTTAGAGCTTCTTAGATCTTTTTAGCTGGTTTAGTGGTAGTTTCCATGCCGACCAAAAGTTATTCACTTTGAGCGGGGGATCTGAGGGCAGCCCGGATGGAAGCTGACCGGAGGGGTTTGCAGGCCGGCTTTCCTTTGAAAAAGACCCTATCCACTTTCATTGATGGAAAGAGGGTACGAAGCATAGGTGTCCTGTTTCCCTTCTGTTGGATAGATACAGATGGGTTGCTCTGGACATGTGCGAGGATTTTGACGGTAAACCAACCCGATGTCCTTCCCTGCCCGGGCGAAGGTTGTAATCTTCGACATGGGAGACATAGAGGCAGGGACTACTGCTCGCCTGGGCTGTGATACCTAGGGGAATTCCTGAAAGAGGAGTGGCAGTTTCATGGAACCATCAAGAAGATCGCGGCTTGTTTTTTTGTTTCTCTCTCTCTCTCTCTCTCTCTTTCAGGAGTGACCCCTGCTCAAAAGAGTCCCTAGGTGATGTCCTCTTGGAAGCAACCACTTTGGCATCACACTCGCCGTCATTTTCGACCGCTGTCCTTCGGGGGCCCATGCGTGGTTCTTTTTTTTAAATTCGGCTTGATCCCTTCCCCTGACTCAGCGTGTCTTAGGATTCGCAGCCGGTGTTTCTTAGCGCTTGGAGGCATCCACAGTCATGGATGTCGGACCCTCAAAATGCATCGGTTTTATGGACCGAAGGCCAAGGACTCTTAGCGTTTTCGGATTTCGGGCTTATTTTGCGGGTGCCAAAGTGGGACTTCTTGTTGGCTTTTGGGGACACGTTTCAAAGCCCGGAATCCATCGGCCATCCTTCTCCCCCATCATTTTCTCAATGCTTTGTTCCAAACAGGGCTCTTAAAGGGAAGCCAAAGGGAATTCAAGCATGTCTGAGATTGACAAGAGACTTATCACGGCTTTCATGTGGCAGAGTTCCCTATATTTCCCTTTAAAGCAGAGCCGAGAAGGTGCTTTTTCAAGAACACCAAAACAGGGAAACAACTATAGGGACCCACTGTTTTGTCCCCCCCCCCCCCCTGCGGTTTTGGCAGCAGTGCCACTGCTTTTTTTTTTCCCCCTCCCCCCCGGCGGTTTTGGCAGCTGCGGAGTCGTCAGGATTATGTCCACCGCATCGGGCGAACTGCCCGGGGGCCGTATGGCCAAGGACATGCCGGGGGCTCGGCCGCGAGTCAGCGACGGGAATGAGGTGAGCGAGTGCGCACCGGGTTCGGAAAGGCGCGGGCGGGTATCTGTGTTTGAAATACCAAAAACGAATCCAAATTTCATTTTAAGAAAATCGCTGGGTTCAAAAACATGTGAGAGAGAGTGTGAGAGCGTGCGAATGTGTGTCAGCTTTGCCTTTACTTGGCTTTTTTTGAGTGGTAGCATCGCATTGGGGGGCTATTTTACATTGATCAGGCAACCCCTAGTTGCTTCTTGTTAAGGGTAACTTGGAAACCCATCCTTAACCACCAAACCACCGGGCTGCAAAACTACCAATTAGGTGTTAGCCTGAATTGAGTGTACTTATTTCTTGTTGCGAGTCTTCAAGCGGAGCGCTGAGCCAGCATGCTTGTGGCAGCTTTGATGGGAAAGCAATCCCCCCCCCCTTGAGCTTTTGTAGTAGGGTCCATTCATTCTCGTGGGCTTAAACCTCTTGGCGCTCTTCATTGAAAGGGACTAAGCGTAGACACCCTGTATATGTGGGACTCGTACCTTCTTAAGGTCAAGCCTCTTGGCCCCCTTGGTATGGATCCCGAATATTTTGATACCCTGTAGTGGGACTTACTACCCAAAGAGACACATGAGCCACGGTCAAAGCCTACGAAGAGCACTTTATCAAGAGGGCTTGAATTGCATGTCCGAGCTGCACGAAACCCTGTAGAACGATAAGGACCCCCCCCAAAACCGATAACCTCAAGATCTCTACTAGAGGTTGCGGCAGTCCCTCACGTGGTAAGTGAAACGCTTGGCCTGAGGCGCTCACCTTTTTCGAGTACGACAAGAAGTGGCCCAATCTCCCCAGGCGGGCGCACGGGCTTGCCTTTGGAGGCATGTCCATGACCCACAAGACCCTGACCCATGAGTTTCGGCAGGGTTGGCCCTGCTTTTGGAAAGCCAAGAGGAAGGGGTGCGCGATTTTAAGGTCAGAGGCATGAGCGACACTTGGTGTCCGCAATAAGTTCATTTCAATAGGACACTGGCACGAGACAAAAATCATTGTTGCTTTGGGTATGTCTTTCCTTGGAGGGAACCACAAGTCAAGTGATTTTTTCAGGGTTTCCCTTTAACACAACTCCAATAAAGGTACTGTCAAGAAAGAGACACACTGTACTACAGTCCAAGCCAATTGCTGAGTCCAACAGCTGGCTTGTGCATGATGCGCCAGCCAATCTGTTGGCTAGCTGTTTCAGCCTTTGAGCATTGGTCATTGAGTCATTGTAGTCCATCCATGGCTGGGCCTGCAAACGCAAGATCACTCAAAACACAATGTCACCTCTTAGTTACAATTGTGATTTTCTCACCAGTCAGCGTGACTGACTACGCAACAGCATTTCGCAGAGTTTACTGTTGACTTGGCAAGCATATGTGGAGAACCTCAACACGCCCATGCTCCTCCAATTCAGGGGAACTATATAGTATGGTTCACATGTCCTATGCTTGTTGGAGGAACACATTGTATTGTTCGTGGCGAACATGTGCAGTTACGTTTTGGCATGTATCACCTGCAACGTGCGTTGTGCATTGGTTCAACATGTTGTTCAACCCATTGCATTTTTTTTAGGAGGGCCATTTTTTTTTGATGTTTTTTTCGTTTTTTTTAGGAATTATTTTTGTGTTTCAGGGTGGGTGGCTTTTTGGCTTTTGTGGCTTTTACGTGGGTTTTTGTGGCTTTTCATTTAGCATCCTCTGCATTCACAGTTCCTCTCTTTCGCATCCTCTGCATTGCCAGTCCCGCTGGCTTTTTGGCTTTGTGGCTTTTGGCGGCTTTCTGGCTTTGGCTTTTCGCATCCTCTGCTTTCCCAGTTGGTTTTTGGCCTCGGCTTCCTGCATCCTCAGCATCGCAAGTTCCTCTCTGGTGCCCCCCGCCACCCCCCTTTCGATTAAAATACACGCCTAATTGAATCATCATTTTTTCGATCATCATGTGACAGCTGCTTTTTAGATTCTTTGGCTGCCGTTTTACAGGGATTAGTTTGCCCGTGATTGAATCCTCACTTGTACCATGAGGCCTTGCCGCAGAGGAACTGATGACCCCCCCGCTGCTTTTATATATTTGTTTGGCCCTCATTGAATCATCACGTTTTCAATCATCGTGGGGGGGGCTGCTGCCCCCCCCAACCCTCCGCTATTTTTTGGACTTTTTGCCCCTATTTGAATCATCACTTTTTCGATCATCATGCGACCGCTACTTTTTAGATTCTTTGCCCCTAATTGTTCGATCATCATGGGGGGGGCTGCCGCCCCCCCCAACCCCCCGCTATTTTTTGGACTTTTTGCCCCTATTTGAATCATCACTTTTTCGATCATCATGCGACCGCTACTTTTTAGATTATTGCCCCTAATTGTTCGATCATCATGGGGGGGGCTGCCGCCCCCCCCAACCCACCCGCCAATTTTTAGACTTTTTGCCCCTGATTGAATCATCGCTTTTTCGATCTGCAGGGATTAGTTTGCACGTATTTGAACCCTCACTTGTACCATGAGCCTTGGCGCAGAGGCACTGATCCCCCCCCGCTGCTTTTTTTTAATCATCATCCCCCCCGACTTTTTGCCCCTGATTGAATCATCACTTTTTCGATCTTCATGGGGGGGCTGCCGCGCCCCCAATCCCCCCGCGCCTAAAAATCATCACTTTTTCAATCATTTACAGGGATTAGTTTGCCCGTGATTGAATCCTCACTTGTACCATGAGGCCTTGCCGCAGAGGAACTGATGACCCCCCCGCTGCTTTTTTATATTTGTTTGGCCTTAATTGAATCATCACTTTTTCAATCATCGTGGGGGGGGGCTGCTGCCCCCCCCAACCCCCCGCTATTTTTTGGACTTTTTGCCCCTGTTTGAATCATCACTTTTTCGATCATCATGCGACCGCCCCAACCCCCCCGCTATTTTTTGGGGGAAATGCCTATCAGCGAACAGTGCCCCCAATCAGCGACTCCCAATCAGCGACGGCCAATCAGCGAACACACGCGTGCCAATCAGCGATTGACGCGGGACCCATCACAGTATTTCCTGTGGCGGGGTGACTCTTTCTGCTGGCCGGAATTCCTTTTAGGATTTCCCGTGGCGGGGTGACTCTTTCTGCTGGCCGGGATTCCTTTTAGGGTTTCCTGTGGCGGGGTGACTCTTTGGCCGGGATTCCTTTTAGGGTTTCCTGTGGCGGGGTGACTCTTCCTGCTGGCCGGGATTCCTTTTAGGGTTTCCTATGGCGGGTGTGGCCGGGATTCCTTTTAGGGTTTCCTGTGGCGGGGTGACTCTTTCTGCTGGCCGGGATTCCTTTTAGGGTTTCCTGTGGCGGGGTGACTCTTTCTGCTGGCCGGGATTCTTTTTAGGGTTTCCTGTGGCGGGGTGACTCTTTCTGCTGGCCGGGATTCCTTTTAGGGTTTCCTGTGGCGGGGTGACTCTTTCTGCTGGCCGGGATTCCTTTTAGGGTTTTCTGTGGCGGGGTGACTCTTTCTGCTGGCCGGGATTCCTTTTAGGGTTTCCTGTGGCGGGGTGACTCTTTCTGCTGGCCGGGATTCCTTTTAGGACTCTTTCTGCTGGCCGGGTTTCCTTTTAAGGTTTTCTGTGGCGGGGTGACTCTTTCTGCTGGCCGGGATTCTTTTTAGGGTTTCCTGTGGCGGGGTGACTCTTTCTGCTGGCCGGAATTCCTTTTAGGGTTTCCTGTGGCGGGGTGACTCTTTCTGCTGGCCGGGCGCGCGCAGCTCAGCTGTCGAGGAAAAGGATGAGGAGGGCGCTGAAGATGGTGCAGGGCCAGAGGCTGCCATATGCTGCCATGCCGCATGATGCCTTGTTCTGCTCAAGAAGTCTAGTTCCTGGACTGCTGCACAGGAATTGACGCAGCCTGCCATGTCAGAGGCTGTCGGGACCTTGAGCTGCCAGTCACGCACGGCCAGTGTCCCGGACGCTGAGGATGATGCTGGCCATGAAGAAAGGTCAGATGCTGTGCAGTGCTTACGGCGCCGATGACGTTGTCAGAGGTGCTTGCGCGCGAGCAGCGCAGCTGTCGAAAAAACGATGAGGAGAACGCTGAAGACGGTGCAGGGCCAGAGGCTGCTGACACGCGAATCACACAGCTATAGAGGCCAAAGGCAAAGGAAGGAGAGAGTGCGTCCAATAGAGTAGCTGGCAACCAGGCCTTCGGGGCTGAGGGCTTGAGCAGCAGTTTGTCGCGGCGTTCAGGCTCTTGCTCTTGCAGCAAAAGCTAAGTCCAAGCCAAAGGCGATCCCCTGAGTGGTGATGTTGAGCTAGGCTGCCACATGATGAATCGTGATGGCGCAGGCACGAGCACAGAAAAGGAAGCGTGAGGCCTGGCCTGCCGGCAGCGCTTACTGACGCCGAAGTTCCCTACGAGCATATTCCCTGTCATTGCTCCATCATTTTTCTTTATAATAGTGTTCCTTGAAAAATCGGTTAACTTTCCTTCCGTGCTCCGTGCGTCATCTGTCAAGCATTTTCACACCTATCCAGCCAGATGCCAAGACAATCGCCTAAATGCTGCTTCTTGTGATGCCGCAAGCAGACAAAGAGCCGGCTGATGACAGGAAGCAGGCTGATCAGCAACAATTGCTTGTCCCCACGTTGATGTTCGAAAGCTTCTTTCTGTGGCTTGTTCCGCCTTAGACCACATCAGCCCCTTCTCTTTCGCCACTCCTCTCTCTCTCTCTCTCTCTCTCTCTCTCTCTCTCTCTCTCTCTCTCTCTCTCTCTTACTGTTCCTCTTTCTGTTCCTCTCTTAGTTTCTCTTTCTGTGGGGAACGCAGCTTTTCTCGTTGCAGTCCTTGGTGCTATTATATTATAATTTTTGTCTGGCCACAGAGATCTGCGACAATAGAGAGGTCAGCTCTGCAGGCATGCTTGCGAAATTGCATGGGAGGGCGCATTGAAGCCAAAGCTCAATGCTCAAAAGCTGACGGTGCCCCTACTGCGGGAGAAGTGCAAGGCTCTGGGCTTGCAGGCCATGTGTCATTGCGTTGCACATCGCTGGTTCACAAAGCAGGGTTGCCCAGGCTCACGGCAAGAAAGCTGAGCTGATTGAAAGGATGGCCGGCCAAGAGGCCGGATACGGCTGAGCACAGAAGCATGTCCTTGCCTCACTTGCCGCACGCATTCCTTTCTTATGAACATCAAAGCTACCACTTTTATCTAGTTTGCCTTCAAGGGAAACGTCAAACGGGGTCTCCCCAAAAGAAAACATATGGAGCCCCATTCACTGCGGTGCTTCTTCTGACCATCGATGCCCAACCAGCCAACCAACCAAGCCAGACCGGCAGAATCAGCCAGCCAGCCAGCCACCCAGCCACCCAGCCATGCCCAGCCAGCCAGCCAAGCCACCTAGGTTGCCACATCATTCCTGTTCTGCCCCTCCCAGCGCAAGAAGTCTTGTTCCTGGACTGCTGCGGGAATTGACGCAGCCTGCCATGTCAGAGGCTGTCGGGACCTTGCGCTGCCAGTCACGCACGGCCAGGGTCCCGGACGCTGAGGATGATGCTGGGGTCGGAGAAAGGTCAGATGCTGTCCAGTGCTTACGGCGCCGATGACGTTTTCAGAGGTGCTTGCCCAGCTGCCGAGGAAAAGGATGAGGGGGGCGCTGAAGATGATGCAGAGCAAGAGGCTACCATATGCTGACACGCCCATCACGCAGCTTAGAGGCCAAAGGCGAAGGAAGGAGAGAGCGCGTCCAATAGAGTAGCTGGCAACCAGGCCTTCGGGGCTGAGGGCTTGAGCAGCAGTTTGTCGCGGCGTTCCGGCTCTTGCTCTTGCAGCAAAAGCTAAGTCCAAGCCAAAGGCGATCCCCTGAGTG